TCTATAACTGTCATTTTCCAGCTTAATTGGGAAAGGATTTGAAAATTTCAGAGCTGTTGATTTTAGTTTTATCCTGATATTTTTATATCACTATTTATTTCAAACATTCAATTAATAACGTATTTTATTAATGAAATAATAATAAACATATAAATTAAAATTTTTATTATTATAAAATTAATGAAAACAGTTGTTTATAGATGTTTATATCATAAAGGTTGTCAATATTTGTTTATCATATACAAGAAACTAAATAAAAAAATAAAAAAATCTAATATAGAATAATTTTATATTAAATAATATATAAATTTTATTTTTATTTTTATTTTATATTAAAAAATTAACTAATTTTGTAATGACTAATAAAATATATAATAAAATAAAATAAAATTAGTATTTTTAAGTAATAATATTTATTCATTCGAATTCTTATCATCAAATTTTTATTTTGAAAATATATTATTATTTTTTAAATTTAAATTATTTTATCATATTTAATAAAAATAAAAAATATTAAAATAAAAAATATAAATATATTAATATAATAACATAAAATAATCAAATAAGATTATTTTAAAATATTTCATTTAGTAAAATAAAATAATATAAAAAATATGAATAAATATAATTTAAAAAATTATAAATAAATTATATAAATTATTAAAAATATTAATGTAAAACTAAAGATATATTAAATAGTATAAATAAATACATAAAATAAAATTAAAAATACTTTATTATCATAATATTATAAAAATAAGATAATAATATTTTCTACCTTAATAATTATATAATACATTAAAATTAAACAAGAGTGTTTAAATATTATTATTATTATTATTATATATATTTTTTCTTCTCTTTTTGTTCTTTCTTGATCTTGATATTTTGTTTTTTAAACTTCTTTTTCTCTTTAAATGTTTGTAATAATTTCAAACTTGATATTTTTTTAAACCATATTTATCTCTTCTTATAAATCTATATTTTAAAATTTTTATAATATAATTAAATAAATATTTATTATTTCTAAAAAATTAAAATATTAAATTTAATGAACTATATTGAAAAATATTACATCATAAATTTTAAAATGTTAAAAAAAATGTAAAAGTTTTGAATTTTCACAACATGAGAAACAGCCATAAGTTATCAATTATTTATTATATTTACTCACAAACCGACAATTAGTTTCAATTTCTTTTTTATCTATAATTGTAATTACATCCTCTGTCAGAATTTTTTATAATTACAATATTCTCTATATTAATAAAAATAAAAATATATTTGGTTTAACCATTTTTTTATGAACATTGAATTTCATAAATTTAATATTTAGATGTAGTTTAAGTATAAAACAAAGTTTAATTTTAAAATTTAAATAATTCGTTAATCAACTACATTTTAAAAATTGTAATATAGGTAAGAAATTATATAATATGTTTAAATCTAAATTATCTCCATCCCAAAAAAATATAAATCTAAATTTTCATACGTAAGAGATATTAAGATCTATGACACGTTTCACTAGTTAGAATTATTAAGTTTCTACTAAGGAAAATATCCAACGTATTATTATCACTTCTCTCTAAAATTATATTTCTTTTTATTTGAAAAATCATTTTTATGGTAAGATTAGTATGTATTACATTTCAATATAATTTGGTCTGAAAGGTTAGGATTATTTTTCTCTTATTGACTATATATAAAAGAAAAAAAAACTGGGAGTGAAGTTACAAATTTGATATATTAACATCATTTCATCCTTGAAAAGCAATAATATATATGTTATGTAAAACTAATTATTGATGATATATTTTTAATTTAATATTAAACATTTTAAATCTTTTAACCATGTTAATAACTATGTTTAAGTTAACATTAAATGAAAACAAAAATAATATTAATTGAAGGACACAACTCATAAAGAAATTTTGTTTTGGGAAGAAATTATAACACATAACTATATATTGACTGTGGAATATGCTTAACGTTCATTAAACAAAAATAATTGAGTTGTAGTTAGAACCAATCACTACGATCCAAGTTGAAAGAACCAATTAATGCTCCATCTTTGACCAATGTTCAAAGTAATTGGAAATGGATAGATCAGAAAAAAAAAGAGACAGAGTGACAGACATAACCCTAATTTGGTCAAGTATATCGTAATTAACGGTTTATACTTATAAAATTAACCTAATTCAAAGTTTTTGCGTAAAATTAACACTGAATTAGCTTCTAAACACACGCCAAGTCTGAACCCTAACTCACGATTTCTATCTTTATCAAGTCAATTTATTTATTTTTTAAGGCAAAGTTGTTCAAAATTAGAGTAAACGTTTCAACAGGGAAAAGAGAAAAAGGTTGAAGAAGAAGCATTAATTCAAGCAATGGTGTATGGAATATGGATATGCATGAAGATTAGCCATAGATGGATTATCATCACATAGGTCGTAATCAACTTTTATGTATCGATTAGAATTACATTCTTGCACGTTGCATTTGCATTACCACTTATGAGCTTACGTATGATGGTTTGCTGCATATGCAAATATTTTCTGGTCCCCATCATATACACTATGCTGATAGACTTAAAACCCAATATTTCTATGTCTGCTTCATTTTCAGCTACTATGTTTTGCATGCTTGTTTCTTAAAAACTTATCTAATTTAATGCTGCAAAATCAATTGAGTAAGATTGGTATTCAATTATATATTATAATATAAATATATTTTACATAATTATAATTGTATCTATATAATATGTGATATTTCATCACAATCCCTTCTCTTAGATTTTTTTTTAGCAATTTCGTAACTTAAAATAATAAGTCTTTCATGGCCACAAAATAAAAATAAAATTATAACTTTTTAATAAAAAATATTAAATTCTAAAAATAGAAGTTTTTTATTTTACTAATTTTGTACCAAATCAAGAGTAGTTTTAATCATGAACCCTCTCCAAAACACCTTAATTTCTCCTCTCCAAAACACCTTAATTTCTTCCATGGATTGATAAATTAGTTGTTTGATTGTTCTTGGATATTTTGCCCTTTTTTTGGATTTTAATTATTGAGAAATTATGTTTGTCATTGCATTGTAATTGTTGGATTGTTTAATCGACTTCGTTATTAAAATCTTAATTTTTTTCATGTATTTGAGAAAAAAGTACAATTATTAATGTATTTTTTTATTTAAATTACATATATTTCTCTAATTTTTTTGTTTTTGTTTTTAAAACTATTCCCTCCATTTAAACCTTAAATTATTTATATTCTTTCTTCTATACCACCACCACTATCTTATTTAGTGGCAGATCTAAAATATTAATTTTAAAGGTCAAATAATGTATTATCAATAAATAATAAATGAATATTACTAAAAAATCATCAAATGTGAATTTTTCTGAAAAACTTTTTAGTAAAAAATAGTTACAACTTTTTTTAAGAAAAATATTTCACAGAAAATTATTATAAATTTGCAAAATATTTTTTCTAGAAAATATGTAAGATTTTTTTGCAAAAAATTAATAGTAAGAAATTCCTCCAAAATTTTCTTCAATTATATAATTATAATTTTATTTTATTTTTCAAATATATATTCGTATAAAATTTGGCAGGAATGAAAATTATTTTCTATATTTTTTTTAAATAAAATTTGTAAAAAAGATTTAATAATATTTTAAAAAATGGCGAGTAAAATTTAAAAATAATATTTTTTAAAAATATTTTATTTATTTTTATAGAAAATTAATAAAATATTTTATAATTGGTTACTTTAAAAATAATTCAAATATAAAAAAAAATTTGAGATTTGTTCGACGTCTCTCCTCGTCAACATTTCTCCCTCTCGCGCGAGGCGAGATCTTTTGAGGTCGAGGGGGCCGTAACCGCCCCAAAGTTTTGTTACTCCCATGTAATTTATGATTTTGGTCCCCCCAAACTTAATTTAATATATTTACTTGTATATTTACAATTTTATCCTCTTAGTCCCTCCTCGGTTTTATAACTTTCATATAATTTATGATTTTGTCCCCCTCAAACTTAATGATCATTTAATATATTTAAGTATATATTTACAATTTTATCCTTTTACCCTTTCATCTTCTTACTTCATTTTATATTTATTTATTATTTATTAATAATATATTATTTGGCCCCTCCAAGATCAATGGTCAAGATCCGCCACTACTATCTGCTTCCATCAAGTATCCCGTTTCTTCTTCATTTCTTCTTCTTCGACCATATTACCATTCTTCTCTTTTTAACCACTACTGTTTCTTCTTCCTTCCTCCGCATTGTTGACGCGATGACTTGAATCGCAGTGGAAGACGAAAAATATCACATAAATAGGTATAACCTTAACCACAGGAGTCTTTGGTATTTTAGTTCTATTTCACATAACTTATTCAACTATCCAGTGTATTCTATAACTTATTCTAGTTATTGTTTTACTTTTTATTACTAATTTGAATGTTAGGGTTCATGGAAATGAAATTGAGTTTGATTTCTGTTGCAGATAAGGGTCGGTTGAAGATTAGGGGAATAAATTTTCAGAGCCTCCATTTAACGTAATTTGATTAACACTGCAACCTAGAATTTTCATTTCATATGATGTTTCTAATGTTTTGGAAATAACGTAGGTGGTGATTGAACTGTTTATTGAATTGTTATTTTGATTTTGGGTTAATATTCTCTATCTACGTTAATGAGGATGCTATTCTGGTGTGCTTTAGAATAGTACGTTGAAGTAATGTAATCAATATCTCCTGCATATGTACGTTCTGTGAGTATTTATTTTAGCATGTTTGTTATTCTGGTATGTTATCGAAACTCTACATAATTTGTGTAGAGTTTGGCTTTGTGTCTTCTTACTGGCTTGAGGATATCGTGATAACAAAACATAACATTCATAATATTTTACACAGTTGTTAGAACATCTTTAAACATTGGTCCTTTCCACTACTCATCCTTCACCTCACTCTCTTCACACCACAACAAAAAATGCAGGTCAGAAAGCCACACACAGTGTTGACCCCATTTCCAGTTCAAGGTCATATAAGCTCTTTGTTCCGACTAGCAAAGTTGCTTCATCTTAGAGACTTTCGCATTACCTTTGTCGACACTGAATACAACTACAAACGCTTGCTCAATTCAAGAGGTCTTAAAGCCCTTGATGGCATTCCAGAATTTCATTTTGAGACCATCCCAGATGGTTTTCCTCCCAATGATGATGTTGATGTCACTCAAGACGTAGTGGCCCTTTGTAAATCAGTGACAGAGAACTTTTTCCTACCCTTTCGTGAACTTCTTGCTAGACTCTATGATTCTGCCACTGCCGGCATTATACCTCCAATTACTTGCTTGGTTTCTGATTTGTCCATGACTTTTACTACACAAGCTGTTCATGAACTAGCACTCCCTATTGTTCTATTTTCACCTGCTAGTGCCTGCAACTTAATGGCTACTTTGCACTACCGTGAGCATTATGATAAAGGTCTCATACCACTCAAAGGTATATACGATGTATCAAAGCTCTTTCTGAAGAAAGTCCATGAACAAATAATGTTAACGAAACTCTACATAATTTTTGCTTCTACTGCTTCTTGCCTCCAATACTCTTAACCTATACCCTTTGTAATGCAAGAAGACATCCTCTTTAAATCTAGTTTAGAAAATTCATTGCTTTATATGAATCCAATGATTTTTGGAGTGACCCTTAAGCAACCAAGCTGAAATTGGTTCTTGTTTCATGTTGAAAAAGTTTGTTATTATTTATTTTGAAGAATCTAGAAATACTTGTCTTGCAGTAGTACATGTGCAACTGTCTTGTGCTCTATAGAATCAATATTAACAGTTTACATTTGAAGACATAGACTTGAATTATTTTCTTATTTTATTTTGAGTGATATATTTCTCTTGGAATTTACTTTCTGATTTTTGTTGCATGGGATTATTCATTAGTTAGCTTTCTCTATATTTGACTTGACTCTGTCATTTTTGCACTAAGGATCTGGAAGCTTTAATTAGTAATAATCACATTATTATTTTTTTTTGCATTACAGATAAGAGCTTATTACTATTATTAGTTAAAATTCATTGAAAGTCACAATTTTACCGAGTCTCAATTCTTATTCAAAGAGCTCTGTTCATGATTTCACTATGCCTAACAAATTTTAACCAATGTAAAGTGTGTATTAGGAGTATATTAGAGAGTGAAATGTATATTGCCAACACTTCTCTTATTTGAATTGAAATGGATTCTTATCTATTGCATAATGAATAATTTATGATACTTAAGTGTAATGTGCGACTGTTGGCAGATATCTAAAATTACTGATGAAGGTGTCACTGTTTTCCCACCATTCTCTTTGAAAACGTATTGGGAGTTCTCTCGCCTTCAAGAATCCTACTATGGGCGCTAAAGGTTCATGGTAGCTGACTCACTCGACATGAAACAAAATTTTTAAAGTGACTTGATGTTTTTTTTTTATATCCTTTTAGCTTCCTATGGTGGTTGAAACTGTTCTGTTTCATTAGAATTTATATTCCGGTTTCCTCTCAATTGCATACATAAACATCCATGCGGTCCACTTGTTTGAATTTTAGATTAATCATGCTAAGAAGTTTTATTTCTTATTTTCCTTGTTAAAACTAAATGCATAATTGGTGTCGAAAAAATGTTGTCATTTTGTTTTAGATTTAGGGTCTTGGATCACAAAGGACTTTTAAGAAAAAAATTATAAAATAAAATTAGCTTTTACTTTGCAGAAATATTCTTATATACTTTTTTTTTGTATAATTTTGTTTTAGTACATAAAAGTTAATTTATTTAGTTTTTCATTTTTCTAAAAAAATAAAATAAAAACTAGAGAAGATCGCTTTAAAAATATGCTTATTTTTGTATGAATTTTTATGAAATGGTAATTAAAATGAATATAATATAATATTTTATAATGACCTATTGAACGATTTTCAATTGAATTAAACAATCTCTAACTGATTGTGCATTGCACTCGAACGATTAAACTTTCCTTTCTTCTTAAGTGCTCGTATGAAACTGTTCGATTCATCGCTTACAACTTGTCATTTTTTTTCACTCTTTTAATTATTCTCATATTTTTAATTTTTGATTTCATTTTTTAATAAATACTTTAAAATATATTTTATTTAAACTAATCCATAATATTTCTTTTTCTTTTAAGATAAAGTTTAGGAGATTCTCAATGTCAATTTATAAAGTTAAAACATAAAAAAATATTGTCTTTCCATTTAACATAAACCAATTATAGTCTATTTTGTTTATAAGAATCACCTTTCTTGATCACTCCTTTTATAATATATGGTTATAATTTGTAACATTGATGTTTCCTTTTAGGTTGTTGTTTTGGTAAGAGTTTGTGAAGACCTTTAAATCTCGTATATGAAGTTTACAAGTAAGAATAATTTTAATTTCTTGTTCAAAATAGTTATATGTGTATTATTAATATTATATATATGTTAGATATTGTTTAGATATTATTTGATATTGTTAAGATATTGTTAGATATTGGTAACCACAATATCAAACAATATATTCTATTTATTCTATTACTTTCAGTTACTCTTTTAGTTGTATCTCTCTACTATAAATAGATCACCCTATGTGTGATTTATACACAAGGAAAATTAATTCCAAACCCTATTTTCTCTATATTCAACATGGTATCAGAGCCAAAACTTAACATCTCTCCGGTTATTGTCATGGGCCAAAAGTTGCCCTTTAGTTGGGTCAAAAGTACCCTTTGCCTGGTCCGGCAGGCTTCGTTGGAGGGGGTGTGTTGAAAGTCTCACATTGCCTACCTCATGTTATTTGGTATGATTTAAATACATGTTAAGCTACTCCACACTCTTTCTTGGGAACTTACCTGATGTACTGGTTCACGCCGCTGTCACTATCGCCTCCGCCCTTTATGACTTCTTCCGCTCCTTTTAGTACTTCCAATTCTGTCAGTACTGCGTCTGATCCTTCCATCTACACTAATTATGTTAATGTGCACTTATCCATTGACAAGTTAACTGGCCCTAATTATGCCACATGGTCATCAGACGTCAGATTATGGCTTAAGAATCAGAAGTATCTTGATCATCTTGCCCCGAAAACACCTACTCTCACTCCTAGTGAGGAAGACCGTTGGGACACCATTGATGCTCAATTATGCGTGGTTCTCAAGGGTACTCTTGATCCTTCGTTAAAACAAATTTTTCGTTCTTTTGAAACATGTGCCAAAATCTGGAAACATGCCAAGTTATTATACACCAATGATACTCAACGTCTCTATGATGCCTGTTCTAAATTTGTAGATGTTATTGCCTCTAAACATCAAGATTCTATGACTAATTATATGGGCAAAATTCATACTCTTTTTCATGAGTTCAATGAGTTATTGCCTCCTTCCCCCGACCCTGCCACCGAGATAGGACAACGATCAAAGTTCTTCATGCTAGGGGCATTACACGGACTTGCTGATCAATATTCACATATTCGTGATCAGATTTTGGGTTCTCCGGTTGTCCCCACCTTGACATCGACCTGCTCCACTCTTTTGCGTATACCAGCAAAACCCAACCCTGACACACCTGCTTCTGTTAATGATTCTTCTACATTGGTATCAGAGCCAAAGCCTAACATCTTTCCGGTTATTGTCATGGGTCAAAAAGTACCCTTTGCCTGGTCCGGCAGGCTTCATTGGAGGGGGTGTGTTGAAAGTCTCACATCGCCTACCTCATGTCATTTGATATGGTTTAAATACATGTTAGGCTACTCCACATATAGCCAATTGGTTTTATGTTGGAACCTTGGTTCTTACTTTTCCATGAGATCAAGTTACCACCAATGGAGACACAATATCCAGATGTAGATCTTCTATCCGAAGGAGATCCTGCCCAATCAACATCTGAGTAGCAAACAACTCTTATATGGTTATTAGAACCATATAACAATCCTTTTCCAGGAGATCCTTTAATATACTTCAAGATACGAATGACTGCATTCCAATGATCTTCACATGGTGAATTAAGAAATTGACTTACCACACTGACTGCAAAGGAAATGTCAGGCCGAGTAACTGTAAGATAATTCAATTTTCCAACCAATCTTCTATACTGCTCAGGATCAGATATAGGCTCCCCCTGATTTGGTAGAAGTTTAGTATTGGGATCCAAGGGTGTATCAACAGACTTTGAACTCATCAACCCAGTTTCCTGTGAACTTGTTTGGCTCAAGCAATTGCTTAGAGAGTTACAATTTGGAGATGTCACTCAAATGACACTTGTGTGTGATAATCAGGCTGCTCTTCATATTAGTTCTAATCCTGTCTTTCATGAGAGGACCAAACACATTGAGATTGACTGTCATTTTATTCGAGAAAAGATTATGTTTGGAGATATCATGACTGAGTTTGTTAACTCAAGTGATTAGTTAGTAGATATTTTTACTAAATCTTTACGGGGTCCTAGAATTGATTATATTTGTAACAAGCTTGACACATACGATTTGTATGCTCCAGCTTGAGGGGGAGTGTTAGATATTGTTTAGATATTATTTGATATTGTTAAGATATTGTTAGATATTGGTAACCACAATATCAAACAATATCTTCTGATTATTCTGTTACTTTCAGTTACTCTTTTAGTTGTATCTCTCTTCTATAAATAGACCACCCTATGTGTGATTTATACACAAGGGAAATTAATTCCAAACCCTATTTTCTCTATATTCAACAATATATATATATATATATAATAATAATAATAATAATTTTAGGCATTTTCGAGTCAATCTTATAATGGACATATCTAAACGTCGAGCATGGATGTATAATAGGCTTCTTCCTGGTCGGGAGGCATATACAAATGAATTTTTAAGTGGCCTCGATGTGTTTATGACTTTTGCTTGTTAACAACCAAGTTTTTTGATTGAAGGAAAAATAAGGTGTCCATGTAAGGAATGCAAAAATGAGAGCTTTTTAATTCCAGATGAAGTAAATGTTCACCTTCTCCGAAAAGGATTTACATTTGAGTATTGGTATTGGACATCTCATGGAGAGAAAATCCCTCATACTAATGTTAATGTTGATATGCATTCAGTGTCGAGTAGTAGTAACCCATGGGGTTCTAATAGTGTTAATAGACATGAAGATATGGTGTTTGATGCTACTGGTCTTAATCATGAGCAACATTTTATACCAAATGAAGAGGAACCTCTAAATATGGAAGCTACCAAATTTTACAAAATGCTAAATTCGGCTCAACAACCATTATGGCCAGGATGTAAAAATACATCAGAGTTGTCTGCTGCTATTACAATGTTGAGTATAAAATCTAAACACAATATGTTGCAAACTTGTTTTAATGACATCATGAAATTTATGAAAGAGTCAAACCACCCGGAGAATGTTATTCCTTCCAATTTTAGGGAAATAAAGAAACTTGTAGCAGGACTTGGTTTATCGAGGATAAAAATAGATTGTTGCATTGATGGATGTATGTTGTATTACAAAAGTGACAGTAGTTTGAAGGAATGTAAATTTTGTAGAAAGCCTCGATATAAAGCACCCAAAGAATGCAAGAAAAATCCTAAAGATGTTCCCCATAAGAGATTGCATTACTTGCCACACATTCCTAGATTACAAAGGTTATATGCTTCAACGAGATCTGTAGAGCACATGAGGTGGCACTATGAAAATCGTAGGGAAGGTGTGTTGTGTCATCCTTCAGACGGGGAAGCTTGGAAGGAATTTGATAAATTATATCCTGAATTTTCCTCAGAACCTTGAAATGTGAGACTTGGCTTGTGTGCCGATGGGTTCACTCCTTTTAGCCAATCAACAATACCATATTCTTGTTGGCCAGTAATTGTCACACCATATAATCTCCCTCCAGAATTATGTATGATGACTCCTTATATGTTCTTGACTTTGATCATTCCAGGTCCACATAATCCAAAAGCTAAAATTGATGTGTATTTGCAACCATTGGTAGATCAATTGCAACAATTGTGGAATAATGGTGTAGTAACATATGATGCCTCAAAAAAGCAAAATTTTCTATTGAGAGTTGCATTATTGTGACAATAAATGATTTTCCTGCATATGAGATGTTGTCTGGGTAGAGTACTGTTGGAAAATTTTTTTGTCCAATATGTATGAAAAAATCAAAAGCTTTTTCACTAAAAAATGGAAGAAAAATGACTTGGTTTGATTATCATCGTCAATTTTTACCTCAAAATCATGTTTTTACAAGAAATAAGGATGCGTTTTACAAAAATAGAATTGAGAAAGATGAGTCTCCTCCTAGATTAAGTGGTGAACAGGTATGGGATATGGTATCTAACATTCCTAAGTCAACTGAAGTGAAGATATGCAATGTACCTAGTCATGGACAT